GAGTATTCGGTGTCGGCGACGAGGTCGGGTTTTAAGGCAAAACTGAAGTCCCAGCCTTTGTGACAGAGCTGGACGAATTCAACCGCGTGTTATACGAGTGCTCTTACGTCAGTGGAAGAGCTCGGCCTTGCCCGGACGTTTCGCGTTTCAGGGTTTCGATACCGAATCCCAGACTCTTGAAACAGAGTCGCCTGAATTTTTTCGCTTCGAGCGTTTTCAACACTGGACAAAAGTAAAAAAACTGAAGTCTAAAATTCGTAGCTTATTATATCTTAAAATACTAACGAAGGAACGAAAATCTTACTACCAACAATTTGTTGTCAAAAATAATGCTTGAAATTTATTCCGAATGTTTATCTGATTAATTTCACTTTTCTAAGTTGCGTTTAACATTGCAAGACCTTTCAAACTGCGGAATAACTTTTTTACAATATTAACAATTTGTCCCAATTTTTTATGTTAAATGTTTGTCAACTTTGACTTGAGTTTTGAAAAACGTACCTCAAAGTACCTCTTTGATTTTTTGCATATATTAAACTTCATATGCAAGCCAATTTTAACTGCTCAATGTTGCCCGAACCGAAGAAAACAGTCAAAATCAGCTATATTAAACAATATATAATAATAGATACGAATACTGACTCTGATTTAAATGTAGGCATAGTATAATATATAATTGATTTGAAAAATATATTTAAAGAAAAAATTCAAATAAGTATTCACTTTTTATCCTTTGATCCTATATTCTATGTGCTCTAGTGATTAATTCGATTTTCTCAAGCATTCTCGATAAACTGACAAAAAAAATTTTCCAATAAAAGTTGCTCGGTACATAATCATATGACGACAAATTGTAAACGAAAAAATTGACAAGAATCTTTTTATTCAATAAAAAATTAAGATCACCTTAATTTCTTTAGTAAGATTGTATTTTTTTGTTTTTCATCAATCGATGCATCGTTATATCCTCATTAAGAAATTATTCGAGTTCTTAGGTCGAAAATTGAATAGTTTAAGAGTTATTGATCTTGTCCCGAACTCCCATATCTTTCCTTGTAAGTGTTAGAAATACATAAAATCATCGAAAGAGGACAATGAATCAAACAATAGACATATTTATTTTCGAAATATTAAATTGAAAACTTTTCAAACGAATAGCTTGCACGAAAACTATAAGTCCAAAGGGGAATATAAATTAATTGAAAAATTGATGTAGAATCCATCGTCGTGCGTGTAAGATCGTTTTGACCTGGCTCGTTTCCGTTTCCTCTATAGAAACCACGGAGGAATTGTCGAATAACGCGAAGAAAAACTGAATGACATGTCAGACGAGCTAAGGAAACCTATATGCTGTGATTACGCGTATTCTATACCGTTACATAAGCGGCCGGTCACGAATCATAATTATTAATCCGCCTGTGCGAACTTTCTCTATACGGTTTTCATCAAAGTGAATGCGTGACCTTGGTTCTCCTCTCGGTTCATAAATCCAAGATGTGCAATTTCTGTTGCACAAATCATCGCAATTTATGTAATTATCGCGACCAAATAACTATGATATTCGTACGAGAGCATTCAGCTTTTAAACAATCCTTCGTAATGTACGATGCGGGATAACTGTTTCGACAAATGGACACCCAATGCCTTTCAAGACAAATACTTTTTGTTTTCACAGAAATATTATTTCACGGATCAACGTATCCCGGTTAAAGATTGGAGTTGTCTAATTATTATTTAGGAACAAGAATAAATTAGCTAATGGAGGCGGACGACTGTGGATTAAGAGAACCAGGCAGTCAGATTGTGCCTTTTTGTAAGGGCTTATTAAAAAAAAACGGTTAGGTATTAAAGTGTATAATACAAATTTTATATTGCAAAATCTTGTCAAACAACCATAAACGGAAAGTAACCAAAGTACCAAGTACCAAACGGAAAAATACTCGAAATAACTCCTGCAAATATTACAAAAATTGTAATAATGATTTTGCTACAATGAATAGGCTACGAATTTAACAATTTTTGTCCTGCTGAATAATCCTTTTGGAGCAATTTTCCAGCCTAAATTATTATAGCCACCAACACATCGCTCAAGTAGCTTTTCATTGCACGAGTAAATGGGCAAAATTACTTATTTTGGGCCTTTGCTTTATCCGTCGCTTGACTAACTGTTTTGGCATCTCCAAAATTCCTATTTTTTACTACAACCTTATGAAACTTGTGCATTTAATTTCTGAATAGTATTACTTACGAAGAAATAGAAAATAAAAAAGGAAATCGATTTTCTGACTGCCTGGTTCCCTTAAGGGGTCTGGTACCTCTAGCGGTATGGAAAACGAGGCATTTTTTTAAGCAACACTGAAGGTAAAGTAAGCATTCAATTATCCTGAAACTTTGCACTGTATTTAGATGTAACAAATGTTGAAAAAAACCCTTGGCAATGTATAAAAAATATTTATAATTAAGCCTACACAGCGCCATGTTCCCGAGCCACTTCTTGTTTTGATGCCCAGCTGGTGTGCAGGATTGTGGTAAAATGGTTGTTATGTACAACAAAAACCGAAATATTCCATTAACTATGATAAATGTCCTAGGCATTGACGATGAGACATTTCAATTTATATAAAAATGAACAATGTGGCAGATATTTGAAACTTATAATCGAATTTTAACACAAAAACGAGTTCTTATTACGAATATTTTGCAGAATTATTTGACAATTTTGAAAAAAACGGATCGTCAATGCCTAATAAATATAATAGTAAAGATAACTGTAAATTTTCAAAGCAATTGATTAATTAGAACTGGAGTAATGCTGCACACCGTTTTGTAAAACATAGTTCCGAGGAAAATGCATTTAACGCGCTACAGGACGCAGATACACGTCATCGTTTGGGGTTCTAAAAGCAAAAACATTGTTCCGGCACTGACAGGGAACCATCGCGAACGGTCCGGCTTCGATTTTGATGAAACTTTGTACACTTATAAAGCAGCCAAAAATAATCGACACGTATTTTTTTTTTAGCTGCGGTAACTCGAGTTTAAGGGGTGAAACCACCCCTTGAAGTTTTGGCTCGAAACGGCTATCTCGAAAACGGAAAGACATACAAAAAAATTGTTAATGGGCGAGGTTGATGGTTTCTTATGTACAATAACATGGTGTTAAAAAATTTGAAAAAATACAATTTGTTTATAACAAAAAAAAATTTATTAACTTAATTTTTCATTTTATTGAAATTTTCATAATGACAAAAAATGACGAGCATTTTATTCCAAATCCATTGGTATGCGATTTTTTAAAATTGCCTCCTACAGTTTTGCAGATTTTGATGATTTACATCTTGCGCGCACATCCATTATGGTAGTAGCCGTTCTAACTTTGATTTTAATGAAGCACTGTAGGCTTGCACTACTTCTAGAGGACAAAATCGGGAAAAATACAAGAATACCAATTTGTTGATGGAGGCTTCGTTAAGAAATTATTAACGTTTAAAGTTTCGCCCGTACTGAATTTTTTTCTCCGAAATGCCCAAGATTTCGGGGGAATGTGTAATGACCAAAAATGATTGTAATCGACCCCTGCAACCGAAAATAATTTTTTCAGAATGGTTTGAAATTTTTTAATTTTGTTGACTTTCAGACATTCTCGAATTTTTTTCTCAAAAGTGCGTAGGATTTCGGGGGTATATATATTGACCAAAAATGATTGAAATTGACACCCGCAACTGAAAATAATTTTTTTAGAACGATTTGAAATTTTTTTTTTCGCTGAAAAATTTAGGCACCTACGCCCTGTCGATTTTTCTTAAAAATTCGTTTTTCATTTTTAATAATTTTGTTTGACGCCCTACAAAAAAGTTGGCCAATACTTTTTTGTAGGTACCTATGAGCTCTACTTCAGAAAAAAGTTTCATTGAAATATATTCACTATTGTAGGAATTATGGCTGTTTGAAGATTGGACCATTTTTATGGGGTTTTTCTCATTTTGCGGGGTCAAGGATCAACTTTTTGCATATTTTTGCGATTTCTACGTATTCTTGATTAAAATACGCGTCGTTTGCAGTTTGAAAATTAAAATCCTTCAATCCGTTCAGAAGTTATGACATTTTAAAGATCCGCATGAAATTTTCGGACAACATTTCTGGCCATAAATTACATTTTCGATTAGGAATTTTTTTCTCGAAAGTGCGTAGGATTTCGTGGGTATATGTATCGACCAAAAATGATTGTAATTGGCCCCCGCAACCGAAAATAATTTTTTCCTGGAGGATTTGAAATTTTTTAATTTAATTTTTTAATAACTTTTTAACGAAGACTCAATCAACAAATTGATATTCTTGATTTTCGTCTTATTTTGGCCTCTAGAATCTCCGTTCTAGTAGTAGCCGTTCTAACTTTGATTTAGTGCAAGACTACAGTGCTTCATTAAAATCAAAGTTAGAACGGCTACTACCATAATGGATGTGCGCGCAAGATGTAAATCATCAAAATCTGCAAAACTGTAGGAGGCAATTTTAAAAAATCGCATACCAATGGATTTGGAATAAAATGCTCGTCATTTTTTATCATTATGAAAATTTCAATAAAATGAAAAATTAAGTTAATAAATTTTTTTTTGTTATAAACAAATTGTATTTTTTTAAATTTTTTAACACCATGTTATTGTACATAAGAAACCATCAACCTCGCCCATTAACAATTTTTTTGTATGTCTTTCCGTTTTCGAGATAGCCGTTTCGAGCCAAAACTTCAAGGGGTGGTTTCACCCCTTAAACTCGAGTTACCGCAGCTAAAAAAAAATACGTGTCGATTATTTTTGGCTGCTTTATAAGTGTACAAAGTTTCATCAAAATCGAAGCCGGACCGTTCGCGATGGTTCCTTGTGAGACCTTTCGCATAATGGTTTTAAGGCTTCAAACTATTATTTAAGCCGAAAAAAAAAAAATCGAATTTTTCAATATTCTAGAGTTACCAGACCCGTTAAGGTCAACGAGAAACTCACTTTTTCGGGCGTGGGTGAGGCCGACGTTGAACTTAACCCCTGCTGTAGGTGATACATCTTCGGGGCGAGCAAAGATGGAGGTGCGCCGAGGCTACCCGGGGCGACAGCCACGCTCGTCATGGTCATTTCCTATGATGAATGAAGTCCTCGGCTTCTTCGAAGCACCTGTCCGCGGTTTTCTGCGATTTTCGTAATTGCTCATCCTCGTTCCGTGACCGCTGCAATACAAACACACACGGTACAAATAAATACTTGGTCTTATTTTTGGAATTCACGAGGAATTGAAACGGAACTGCCCCACAACGGCGTGAAAAATTGAAAATTCGTGGTTTTCAGATTACGTGCAATTCCCCCTTTTAGAACCCTATGTCTTTCGCGCTCGATTCGAGCACAGTAAATCGTTTATTAATGATTATTTAAATCAATTAGGAGGCAAATTTCGATAACTGGTTTACGGGAAATAAAATAATTTCGTAGGATGCGTGTTTGCGCGCAAATATAAGTGTTCGAGCTATTTACCTCGCATGAGAATTTTCTTTCGCGTCCCCAGAAAACGGCTCTAGAAAACGGCCACCGAGTACTTTCAAAATTGACTCCTTTTGATACGCGAGTGTTAAACAGTTAATAAACGATCCGAGCGTCCATGATTCACGTTCTACTTGGTAGGAAAAAAGAATTCTCCAATTTCACTGTTCAATGTGCGTGAAACTCGAACATTTCTCTTTTACGATCAGGAAATCAACGGAAATTTTCGATATTCTCGTTTGGCACGAGGGAAAGGTGGACGAGAAAAAGACGTCCCTTTTTTTTGCTACCGCGACCAGATGTATAGAATCACGTCGAAATGGTGATTTGTTGGGCAATCGTTTCGATCGCATTACGACATTCCACAATGGTACCGTGTAATTTCACTTTCGCCAGGAGATCGCAATTGCACAATTTTCGTCGCGCCAGACGAGACATTCGGGCGGACCTAGAAAGCGTCTAGGAAATGCTAATTTACCGGAGTTACTGGTCTCGCTGTTACGTGCACGAGATCTCGACGAATATATTTACCGATGCGACGATCTCCCTGTAACGTTCGTTGACAGTTCTACAGCCCCGCAGTCGACCAAACGACGATCCAGCAGTTTGAAAACTGTTACACTGCTGATTTCGGTTCTCAAAACTGGATACGAAGAAAATAGTGTTGTTACAAGCGTCTCGGATTCTATTCTGGTTTCATTTGGGCACTACATCGGTTATGGTTCTAGAATCGGTTCTGATATCGATTCGCGCCTAGACAGAATCCACGGCACGAACGTGGTCGTTTAGACGACTTACATAAGTGTTCCAATAGCAAATAGACCTGAAAGCGATTATGCAGCCTACAGATCGAAAGTCCCACGAGTATTGCTTCCTTGTTACATTTTATTCGTTAACGAAGGCAGAGTTGTTCCTAGCTATTTCCTCCGGAATGTTTCTTTCTACATTTACTTGTATCCTTTTCTGCATCCAGGAATAGTAAAAATTAAATAACAATAAAACAAATTTAATTTGACTAAAATGGTCGTCGTTGATCATTCAACACGGTAAAATTTAATCAATCATATAATAAATAATAATTAAAAAAACAGATTTAATATTTAACTTCGTTGAACTTCTGAACTAAAAATGGTAATACCTTTTTAAAACGGTTCAGGTATCGATATACTAGTTCTGAAAGGTAAAGAAAAGAATTTGAAACGGAAATGTAGGTTGACACGCCTCTCGTAAAGTCAACGGTGTTGCTATACTCCCAATACTGTTAGGTTGCGCTGGATACATTACGATGCAGCGTCACGTCGCCGACTGATTTTTATTTAACGATCACCGTGTCGCGCATTTCAACGCGTTGATCTCATTGCGAATCGCCATGCACACGGTTTTATCTTATTGTCCTTATCATTATGGATTTTATACAGCTGGAATATACAGGACGAAATCTCCATAAGAACTCTGCGCAGTAGAATTTTACGAGTAAAAGTGATGAAAATTGTACGAGCCACGGGTCATCGAAGAAAGTCAAACGAAAGTTTCTCGCGAACCGACGAACGCTGAGATCGGCGAAAAATAATTCCAGCCCTAATGGACAATTCTGGCAGCATTTGCATGTGAAAAAAAGAGAACTCCAAATGAGGCATAGTGCTCGATTTCGTAACCGTCGGAGAAATCGGCGTCTGTTTTACGGCTCACCTGGCCGAAACAGTTAAAGATGTTAAAACAATCAACGAAGATAACCCCGGCGATTCATCTCTCGATGGAAAAAGGGGGGAAAAAGTCGAAAGAAGCGCGAAGATCAGAGCGTAAACATCAATTTATCCCAGTTTCATGCAAACCGTCTGCATCCTGTTCTTCCTTATTTTCGTCGCTCCCGGTCTCTATAAACGCGGAGCGAAAAAATGCTTAATGAGTTCCTGTTAACAAGTCCGCGGTAATAACAGCTGGATAGATGATGTTCAAGTTTAATGTTACGTCGCTTCGGAAATCAATCATTAGCACCGATCATCTACTCCGATCGTTTCCTTCGGACGATGAAATAGTCATCGAACTTACAGACTTTGATATTCCGACAGTAAAAAAGTTTTCAGAAATAACAGTTGCCCTAAAAATTTTCGCGAGAAGAGTAATCAACGAAAATTTTTTTCATATCGTGCGTATCTTCGTGCGCGGAGAAATTTATTTAAAAATTTCTAGTTGTAGGCGTATAGTACAACTTCTAAATGTACCGTGCAAGCTGGTAGACGAGAAAATTAGAATGCCACTTTTAAGCCGCACGAAACTAGTTGTAACAAGTTGATTTCGCCAAAGAAAAGACCGTAAGAACCTCTTTGCGCGGAGAAACCTTCCGATAACCTTTCTTACTTCTACAACCGATCGAGGCGCTAACATAATTTCGTTTTTCTCTCGCTTTTACCGCGATACCGAAAGCACACCGAGGAAAGAAACGAACAAGTTTCTTCGTGAAACTCGAGCCGTTCTCGTAGAAGACAGCCCGAGCTGTTACGCGAACCTGATCGCCTTCCTTCAGCTCCTTAATATGTACTCTACATGTGACATTTTTTTGTTCGAAATGTATTTACTCGTAACGAAGGTTCTTACCGTGCAGTAGTCTTAGAATGGTTCGGGAAAACCCTCTTAATATTCTTCTAAAGAATCGCGAACGGATCTAATAATATCAAATATGGCCGCCGACGAAATGGACGCTCAAAGAAAATTGTATGCAACCGAAATATAAATATTTTTCAAGAACACTATCTTAATTACGTATAAATAAATTTTGAATAAATGTCACGTAAAGAGTAATAAAATCTAATCGAACCCACTTTTATGATCCGTTGTGATACGTATCGAATGTTTCGTGACTATTTGCGAGAAGGTGCCGGAGAAACGCGTAACAGGTGTTTTTGTAATATCCAACGTACGATTTGGTTTTTGAGACGGTGCAGATGTGCAAACAATCAACGAATCAGGATACAAACACGTTCTCGTTCGTTATAACTCCTACGCGTTTTCTACGGTTCCTATTCGAGGAGATACACGTATGTACAATTGTTAAATTATGTAAGTCCGTTCTCATTGACTTGCGCATAGAAAGGTAAAATTTCCTCGCATCCAAGCATACAGTTGTAACCTAACCTACTCCCACCCTACAATGTAGGTAGACGGCTTTCTTCGGTTCAAGAAAGTAGCTTCTCTTCGGGTGTGCATCGCGGATATACATACGCGCAAACATTCTTTACGCAAGTTTGATCTCTCCTTTCTTCCCTTTCCTCTCTCCCTTTCGCGGCTACTTACGGTCTTTCTTCGCCTCTCGTCTTTAAACGTATTTGCATACCGCCAATCGGCGTGCTACATCCCATTAACCCGTCCAAAATTCGTCAAATCTTCCACAAAATCTATATTTCGCTTTCAGACAATCTGACATCGTTTAATTTTAAATTTTACTTAATTGTACTTAAACAATCATTTAAATTTTTAATAATGTATTCGATTGATATCACCATCTTCGGTTCCCTAAATTCTGTATTATAATAAAGAAAATAAAGTTTACGAAAGCAGTAGGAAACTTAGTCAAATGTACGAAGTAAAGTTTTGTAAATTCTACACAACTTGCGAGAATATCAACGTTATGTAATTTCATTTTCTTCGTGCTCATCGACGAAGAAAATGAATACAACAAAATTCATAATTATCTTTACCTTCCATATAATTTGAAAATTTCTTTCTTTTCCTCTGTACTTATTTCTTCATCATTGAGGATTTAATCTAAGTTTATTATTTTAGTAAACTTTGGATGTTAATTATCAACATACCGGAAGTTGAAACGTATTTTTTGATCGAAGACACGGAACGCTCAAGTTTCAACGGTTTTAATTTCCCCCTCTGTCATTTTAAAGGGCATCCATGGTGTCTCGGTAAGGGAAATACTGACTTCCGGTTTAAGAACACGCAACTGGCTCTGCAACGGTGTTGGAACATGAAATTTGAGACATTTCTGAAGAATCGTGAAGAAACGTATGTTAATACGTAGGTGTCCATAGTGATTTTAATGAAATTTTTACAAATTAACATATATGCCGGTTAAAAATAAAAAAAATAGACACTTCCTTTTATCTGCGATTATTTAAATTTCAGGCGTGAAATTCCTTCTATTACTATACATAGGTATGTACGAATAGCATAATATTCTTCATAATTCGAGATAAGGTCGTTTCCTGTTAGACAGATATTAATAACGATCGATAAATTACCACTTTTACGCTTAATTTATTTCGCTCGCGGAAATCGTTGTTCTTATATTAACCGCGATGAAACGCAACGTTTGTTGATAAATTAACATTAATTTCTGCTTGTATCCGCGCGGCACAAGCTTCCATTCGCGTTTAATAGAAATGGATTAACGAGAGCTCGAAACTGGATTTCCTTCTTACAGTTGAGATAACCATCGGATTGAACTTCGATCGATCAATTTCCATTTCTCCGTTCCGTCAACGCGCGAATTGTCACGAGAAGACTGCAATAATTACAACACGCTATGTAGGTCTGTTCCATAACAAACTATTTTTATACGAATTGCGTTACTCTTTCTGACCTCAAATTATATATTAAATTCTATTATATCAGTTTCCCTGATTATTCCTTGGAATTTCTTTAATGACGTTATCAAAATTCTTGCCATTTTTACACAAACTAGTAG